GCAGAAAAGGTGTGGTGTATGGCTTGTTTGGTGTTTTTCTTGTTGTTGTTTGGTTTTGTTTGTTTGTTTTTAATCTATGTATATGTATTTGATCTCTATATATAATTTTATGAATGCACACCATATATACTTTCTAAATAATGTAAATGTGAAGTTGTTTAGGACCCACTGTAAAAGAAAACTTTTGGGGGTGATTAAACATGAAAACAAATTTTTAAAAGTATTTTGTCATTCTATATTTTTTTATAGGATGAATGAAGACTAACAATTCTTAAAAACAAAAACCTGAAATACAGTTTGTTAAAAATATTTAAATCTAATAAATAAGCAACCAAAAGTGATAGAAATGCTTATTGAAGCTAATGTTTATCTTAGCAAAATGTTATCTTTAATATAGAGGTGTGAAGAATTTCTGTACTGGATCACAGTTTCACTTAATCATAGAAAATAGGAAAAATATAGGAAAATAGCCTTGGTTTTGCAATAAATATTATCTGTTCATTTTCTCTGACAGTTTTAGCAAAACTATTTTGGTTTTGAATTTGAAAACTTTGAGACACACAATCACAAAAAATTTTTCAAGATTTCCTGAGGTGTTTTTCATTACTGATCAACAGAAGCAGATTTAACATCCAACATACTAAAACTTCTGGGTGAAGTACTCCTGTTAAATATAATAGATCTAACATGCTTCCAGAAACATCTGCTTCTGAAAGGACACAATCTTCTGGAAAGGATTTGTGCTCAGTGGTGATTTTTCAAAATGACTGAAATACATGATAACTTCAGTTACCGCCAAACTTCAGTCTGTTTGAACAAAAACATTGTCTACTTAAAATCTTATTAAATGTTCCTTCTCTTGTCCCTTTCTAAATGTATTCTGTAACTGTGTGCAGAAGAGCCTCTGTTTTGGGCCAGATCATAAATTCATTACCTCAGAGGCTTGTGAGTAATAATATCTGTTACTTAATATAATGTAAAAATGCTTCCCCTTTTAAAATTACATCTAAAAATATTTGCAATGTAATACTTCTAGCTTCCATGCTTTTGCAAAAAAAAGCCCATGTTAACTGTATTTTAGTGTTCAGTTGTCCCCAGAGAAAAACTTCTCTCTAACAGAAGCAACTGTACTTGAAATTACATGTTTTACAATACTTAAGTCTAGTTCCTTGGAAAAACTGTAGAAATTAAAATAGTATACACGATTAACATTTTCTACATAAAAAGAGAGACTTTACATATACACCAAATAGAAATAACTATAATATACATACTTACAGGTGTGATACTAGTTAAAAGGTCAAAATCTAACAAACTGTTGATAAGCTTTCTTATTCTGTTCCAACGAGCTAAATGTTCAAATGTTCTACTCCATTCCACACTTATTCATTAGCCCACAAAATATCAGATTTCAAGAAACAAGCCAAATATGAGCATACTGAAGTAATAGCAGACAACATTACTAATATTTTACCATTTTGTTAAGCTTATCTGTTCTTCTGAAGTCTTTAAATCAGACTTCTGTTCCATTTAACACTGGTGGAGTGCACATCCCTGCAGATATTCAAGAGACGTGATCTTGGAACTAAACGACTTGGTTTAGTGATGGAATTCAGTAGGTCTCAAGCTGATTGTTGGACTTCATGATCTTGAAGGTTTTTTCCAACCTAGATGTTTCTGTGTTTCTTTAAATTTCACCTTAAATGGATTATATCTCTAAGACACAAGAGATCAGAACAATGGATTATATCTCTGAGATACAAGAGATCAGAACTTTCTGATTTGTCTGAACAAAGTATTCTGTTCACATTTAAATTGCTGTAGAATATCTGCTAACACATTAACTTCTATCTATCCATCTGTTTATCTATCTATTTATTCTTTGAGGGAAGAAGGTACTTACAGGAAAAAGGAAACAAAGGGAAAAATGAAAAATTACCTACATGCCAAAATGGTTTGCTTTTCCTGGGGTAAAAGAATAAAGAGCTAAACTTGCAAAAATTATGACTAGTTAAAAAAGAATTTCACACATTGTGCAGTAGGTATTTGGAATTTGGCAGCTTAATTCTCTAGATATTCTGTCTGGACTCTGTATGCTCCAGATCACAGATGAAAAGGCTGAATGGGAATTTCTGTTAGCTGCTACACTGCTGGATATCAGAGAAGTGGCTACCTGAAGGAAAAAATGGCATGTACTAGACTAGAGGTAAATAAAGACATGGAAGGGAAGAAAAGAGGTAAGAACTTATGAATCTAGATAAATCATGGAAGATAGTGGAAAGGCGAGGGGAAAAAACAATTAAGGTGTAAGGGGACAGGTTTTGATCAGGCAAAGGACATTGGAAAACAGAACGATTAGCCAAGGAGCAAAGACTGAGTTTATTTCAGTAACTTGAACATGTTTGGTACCATGATCTAATCAGCTGTGAGTTATCCCTGAATTGTCTGTAGCACTGTTAAATGTTCTCTCCCTCCACACAGGATGTCCATATCCATGACAAGCCTGTGTTTCCAGGCTATACTTAAGGTTTGTTACAAAGCATGCTAGCTGAATTTTGCTAAAACTGAGTTGGGATCAATACAGATAGATAATTATGTTCCAAGGCCTGCAAATCTTTCCTAGCATTGTTTAATTAACTAGCATAAGTGTAACTAGGAATTTAAGGAGTTGGATAAGATGTCTGATAGAAAGGAATAGAGAAAGAAATAGTCTAACACAAATTTCAAGATGTAAGTGCACAAGCTGAGAAAAAAAAACAGGACAAGAAACAGTAAATCAGAACAAAGAATCTGATGGAACAGAAATACAAGACAGAGTAAACAAAACCTGAAAGGTCTACGGCATACAAAATGTGTTCTCTTTTAGCATGCAAAATTAATCTTATCGTTCCTTTTGGTCAGCAATTATTTGTGAAATTTCCTTTTAAATTGTATACTCAAGAAGGTATTTTTGAAGTCTTATTTTGTCTCCATACTGGGTTAGAGCTTAAAGGATAATGGTGCATTACCACTGCAAATTAGCAAGTAAGAAAAAATTAGAAAATAAGAAAATAAATTAAAGATCTTTGTGACCACCCTGAGTTTCTCATTCTTCAAGGTGACATTACAAAGGCACATAATGTTGTCATTTTTAAGGTAGTTTGGGCTTTATGTCACATTTTAAATGAAAGAACGTTATGGATTCAAATATGCATGCACATGAGGCAAATTAGAAAACACTGGAGCTAAACTTCCTGTGAAGTTCTCTTCACATCCATTTTTGGAGGTTGGTCCTTAACTACCTGACCACAACAAGAAACCTTCAGGTTTTCCAGCTCATAGAAAAAAAAAAAAAAACAAACAACATTCTGCAAAGAAATCAAGGTGAGAGTGGAATATATTTGCTCTTTTCTAATTTTCCATTACCACACCCATTCTCCAAAGTTCTCAAAGATAACCAACAAAGTGCTGAAATAGCTTCACTTAAAAGTTATATAGTTTTTTTGCTTTCTTCTTTTCTTTCCTTTCTTAATCTATTCTTTTCTTAATCCATACCTGGATGTTATCTTTCATTGTCCATATGAACTGCACTGTGTGTTTGTGTGTGAACTTTCAGTGTAAGCTGAAGCAAAAGAACTTCATGCAGTACTTCAGTATCTCCAGAGTTTTGCTCCTAGTGGAACAACACTGTCCTTCACTTTCCTCTACCTGTACACTTACATAATTATACAGAATTATTATACAAAATAATTTATTGTTACTTATGATGTCTTTTGCTATTTTGTGCTGAGGTATTCTACATTTTGCAGCACTATTCCTGTACTATTAATTTTACATTCATACTGAGTAATAATGATTGTATCCATCTCATGCCTAATGACAACTACTTACACATTCTTCATTTCATGGGTCCCTAGCTAAAGATGTTCTGGATGACATCCAGAACAGCAAATCCACAAATAAACAAAATACACTTTCAGATGAAAATGTAGAGTACTACATAAATGAAGACTTTCTGACATTCGTAGAACCTGAGTTTCCAAAACATGGATCTCAAAAGGAACATTTTTTAACTTAAATTATATTTATTTACAGTTCCTGTTTCCTATTAAGAGGGTAAAGGACATTTATTATGTCATAAAATAAACAGCACATATCCTGATTAAATATATCAAAGCAAAGAGCATTTCAAGATTAAATTAATATTAATGTATTTAGAAAGGATTAAAACTGTATGTTATGAGCCATCCGTTTACAATTGAAGTTAAAATCAAATGTTCAGTAGCAAAATTATAACAAAATACTGTTAATTTAAATAATATACGGATGTCTTCTAGGAAACAGAAAGAGAAAACAGCTTGTGTTTAATACTTGCAGTCTTCATATGCAAGGGGAGACAAATTCAGACTACAAATCTTATTGTTGGTATTTCCTATCTTTTAATTACTTTATTTTGTGACCTTAGTATTCTTTCCTATTAATGCATTTCAGATACATTGTGTGTAAGAGCTTGTTTAGGAAAGATAAAAACAAATTTATTATGCATTAAAATGTAAAAACTATTCAGTGGGAAGTTCTGAGTTATTAACTCTGAATCATAATTTATTCAGAAACTTTATACATTATACAACCAAGTACCAGTTTATAACAGCAAATGAAAGTGACAATTTTTAAAAAAACTACGTAATTTTTTAAACTGAAACTTGACTAAGACAGCAATCTTCAAAAAATACATCACTGCTGTCATGCAATCCAAATAACGCATATAATGAGGTACTGTTTTGTAAGTATTTCTAGACCAAGAAATACACATAATCTCCTAGACTCTTATGTTGTGCTTACTGAGTCTAAGATACTTAACAGTTTGAAGATAAGAGATAATTAGAACTTAGCTCTAGAAATAGTAAATGAGTGTTCTGAAGGACACAGGTTATAAAAATATGTATCTATTTATTGGCAAGCAGCAAATGAAACTGTCAACATCTTTGACTGTAGGCAGTATCATGTATGCCTTGCAATACCTGTATACGCAAACTGAACAAGATCCCACAGTGCATTGGGGTCTATGCCTTCCATTTTGATCTCTTCTTGCTTGGCTTCACAAACATCACTTGTGAACATGGCAGCAAAGTAGTCAGAGACAGAACTGAGGACAAGTCTGCAAAAAAAGTTGGAAACTTGTGTCATTTGCATTGATCTATGTATTAGAAATTTCAGATCATCAAGGCTAATGTACTTTTAGAAACTCTTACTTTCAAAATAACTAAACAGTAGCAGGAGCAATACATTATGAATGCATGTAAGCAGCAAAATACAACATGACATTAATTCTAATTTGATTCTGCTTCCTGTGATATGAACCAAGTGGCACACCAGCATTTGCATATAAAACAGACATAGAAATTAGCTCTCAGTCTTTATGATAACTCTCCTATCCCTATTGTTAGCAAGATAACCTCTCTGTATCAAAGCCATCTTAATAGACATACAGATTCCATACTGTAGAGGTACTCTTAATTGACCTTAAAACAGTCTTTTTTTCGATAAACTTTACTAACAGCATGTAACTTAGTAAGATCCTTCAACCTTCAGTAAGAACTTTAATAGCTTAACATGCTATTTAATAAAAAATAAATAATCTAATGCAAGGATGTAAGGATGTTACTTTTTTAACAGAATCACATAATCATCTAGGTTGGAAGAGATCACCTAGTCCAACCTCTGACCTAACAAGTCCTCCACTAAACCATATCACTAAGCTCTGAATCTAAACATCTTTTTGTTGTTGTTGTTAAGAAACATTTCCAAAGGAAAATAATTTCAAAATATTTACACAATTTGCATGTCTTTTTTGAGGGTCTGATTTATGTACGTCAAACCAACGTTAACTACCAGGTATAGTTGTCATTTTACTGCCTTAGGCCAACACATTCATTTAAATAACATTTATAGTTATATTATTACTTTATTAGGAGTGAATATTCACAGATAATCTTGAGTTAGAAATCTGGCATAGCTATAAATAGCGTAACACACACTTCCATAAAATATGGTCATATTTCTTGCTTAACTTGAAAACATAAAATATAAAAACATTCATTGAAAACACAAGAATCACAAACAAAGAATTAGTAAACAGAGAGAAAATATCTACCCATCTGTATATAGCTAACGATTTCTTTCAAGAAAAGTTGCTGAAGTTAACATTCATCAGCCAGTGTGACAATTGATTGCTTTTGTTCTCTTAGCTTATCCGAATAGCAAAGTAAAATGTAACAGTTTGAATTACATTCATAATTTTATGGGCAGCAAAACACCACAGCACGCTCGCACTCCCCATACTCAGCGGTGTGCAAGGGGAATATGATGAAGGCAAAAGGCTAACAGTTTTGAGGTAAGAATAACTTAATTTAGGGAAAAGAAAGTAAAATAAAGCTAAGCTGTGCAGATTCAGAGAGAGAAAACAATTATTCTCTACTTCTCTTTAATGAGCGATATCCTGCCACATCTTTGGAAGCAGGGGCTCAGTACACGTAGAGGTTGTTGGGGAAGACAGACATTTTGATAATGAGTCTCCATTCCCTTCCCCAGCTGTTACTGCTGAGTGTGACACCACACAATATGGGATATCCCATTGGTCAGTTTTGGTCAGCTGCCCCTGTGATGTCTCCTCCCCACCCCTGCCCACCCCCTACCTGCTGTTCTTGGAGAGTTGCAGGGAGTCATGGTGCTGTGGGACACAGCTCAGCAATAGACAAAGCACTGGTGCAATATCAGGGCTGTTTGAGCTGTAAGTGCAGAGCACTGCACTGCTGTAATGGGGTGCTGTGGGGGAAGTTAACTCCATCCCAGCCAGACCCAGCAAAGGCATCTATCAGGAACTATAACGTTTACATGTTAGATTAGTGCTGGCTCTCCTTGTCTTTAATTATGAGATTCTGGTAATTTGGTTCCACAGCCAAACTTCTCATTAATCAGTTCATAGTTATACAAACCAGTCAAAATGAAAACACTGCTGTAATGATATCTAATACTGGAAGGCAGCCTGAGATCAGTGTTCTGTGCAGCCTAGGACAGTTTCTGGAGAGGTCCCAGTAGACTGGAAACTGGCAAACGTTGTACCAATTTTCAAGAGGAGCAAGAAAGAAGACCCTTGCAACTACAAGCCTGTCAGTCTCACATCAGTGCTTGGTAAAATTATGGAGAAGATCATCCCTGAAGTTACTGAAGTGAACCTGGGGAACAATGCAGTCACTGGTCCCAGCCAATATGGGTTCACAAGGGGTAGGTCCGGTTTGACTACCTTCAGTTCCTTTTATGATAAGATCACCCATCTAGTCAATCAAGGGAAACCAGCTGATGTAATCTTTTTGGATTTCAGTAACACTTTTGACACAGTTTTCCATAGGATCCTACTGGACAAAATGTCCAGCATACAGCTAGACAACAGCATCACAAAATGAGTGAAAAATTGGCTGATAGGTAGGGCTCAAAGGGTTTTGGTAAATGGGTCCACATCAGGCTGGTGGATGGTCACTAATGTGGTTCCCCAAGGTTCCATTTTAGGGCCAGTTCTCTTCAATGATTTTATAAACAATTTGGATCTAGGACTAGAAGGTGTTTTGAGCAAATTTGCTGATGACCCTAAACTTGTAGAAGTTGTTGACTCTGTTGAAGGTAGAAAGGACTTGCAGAGTGATCTGGACAGATTGGAGAGCTGGGCAGTCACCAACCACATGAAGTTTAACAAGAGCAAGTGCCAGGTCCTGCACCTGGGAAAGGGCAATCCTGGCTATACGTACAGACTAACTGATGAGACACTGGAGAGCAGCCCTGAAGAGAGGGATCTGGGGGTTGTGGTTGATAGCAAGCTGAATATGAGCCAGCAGTGTGCCCTGGCAGCCAGGAGGGCCAACCATATCCTGGGGTGCATCAAGCACGGCATTGCTAGTTGGTCAAGGGAAGTGATTGTCATTGTCTTTCCTGCTCTACTCTGTGCTGGTGCGGCCTCACATTGAGTACTGTGTGCAGCTCTGGGCACCACAGTACAAAATGGATGTGAAACTATTGGAGACTGTCCAGAGAAGGGCTACAGAGATGGTGAAGGGCATAGAGGGGAAGACGTACAAGGAGCGGCTGAGGTCACTTGGCCTGAGGTTCTTCACTGAGAGGGTTGTCGCACACTGGAACAGACTCCCCAGGGAGGCTCCCCAGTCACAGCACCAAGCCTGTCAGGTTTTAAGAAGTGTTTGGACTGTGCTCTAAGTCATATAGTCTGAATTTTTGGGTAGACCTGAGTGGTGCCAGGAGTTGGACTCAATGATCCTCATAGGTCCCTTCCAACTCAGGATATTCTATGATTCTATGATTTACCTGCAGGTAGTGCAGCTTCAGAACATGTACAGGATCTTTACTTTGTCTCAAATGATGAGAAATGACTAATTGTTGTAGTGATTCCTTCTTATTGTGCACTCAACTTTGGTTATCATGAACTTTAGAAGATTCTAATTCATAAAAAGTCCATGTTCATGTAATTAATGTAACACTAGATGCCTACAAAAAAAATGAGATTGTAAATACACTTTGTTGCTACTCTGTTTTGTTTTTTTTTCATTTGTTTTCTTTCTTTTTTTTTTTTTTTTAACACTCGGGTACTTTATTTTTTTGTTGTTATCATAGAATGGTTTGGGTTGGAAGGGACCTTAAACATCATCTGGTTCCAATTCCCAGCCATGGGCAGGGACAGCTTCCACTAGACCAGGTTACTCAAAGCCCCATCCAACCCCTGGCTTTTTTATTTCCAGGGATGGGACATCCACAGTTTCTCTGGGCAACCTCTGCCTCACCATCCTCATAGTAAAGAATTTCTTCTGAATATCTAATCTAAATCTACTCTTGTAATTTAAAGACATTCCCCCTTGTCATATCGCTACATTCTCTGGAAGAGTCCCTCTCCAGCTTTCTTGCAGGACTCCCTTAGATGCTGGAAGGCTGCTGGAAGATCTCCCTGGAGTCTTCTCTTCTCCAGGCGTAACAGCTTGTCTTCATAGGAGAGGTGCTCCAGCTGCTTTAATCATCTTCATGGCCTTCTGACATGCCCTCTGGACATGCTCTAACGGGTCTATGTCTTTCTTATGCTGTGGGCCCCAGAGCTGAACACAGTGCTCCAGGTGGGATCTCACAACAGCAGAGTAGAGGGTGAGAATTGTCTCCCTTGACCTGCTGGTCACTCTTCTTTTGATGCATTTAAGGATATGGCTGGCTTTCTGGGCTGCAAGTACATATTGCCAGTTCATGTTGAGTTTCTCTGCACACTGAGTCCTTCTCTTCAGGGATGCTCTCAATCCATTCTCCACCCAGCCTCTATTTGTGCTTGGGATTGCCCTGATCCACATGCAGGACCTTGCTCGTCAGGCCTTGTTGAACTTCATGAGGTTCATCATACAGGCCCACCTCTCTAGCCTGTCCATGTTCCTCTGGATGGCATCCCTTCCCCCAATATGAAAAGTGCACCACTTAGCTTGGTATTGTCTGCAAACTTGCTGAGGGTGCACTCAATCCCATTGTCCATGACACCAACAAAGGTGTTAATACTGGATCCCAATACTGATCCCTGAAGAATGCCAATCATCACTGGTCTCCACCTGGACACTGAGTTGTTGACAGCAGCTCTTTGAATGCAACCATCCAGCCAACTGCTTATCCACCAAATGGTCCATCCATCAAATATATGTCTCTCCAATGTAAAGACAAGGATGTTCAGGTCAGTATCTAATGCAAGTAGGTTAAAACTGTGGACATATTCCTTATTGCAGTCTCTGTAGGGTTCATACTTTGCCTATCCCCATTTCAATTACAAATGGGTTGGAAGACCAAACTCTATGGAATAAGATAAATCTCTATGGAATAAAAATACATTCAGGATAGCACCACCTCTGGCTGGAAAGGCCTTGAGACATAGTTCACCAATGGTTATTGAAATGTGTATGATGGCTGTGTTTCAAGATACGGATCTTGTAATATACTTTCAGTAGAAGAATACCGAAACCAAGGGAACTATCTGGTATTATTTTCTCTTGTCTGTGAAAATTATGTAAGCATTATCTATTATGCCCATTCTCTCTGATTTGTTCACAGTCATTTTCTTTCCTTCTTGCT